CTTGTTCCTGCCTGTTCCCTGTCTATGCCAAAATCTCCCCTACAGCTCATTAACTACTCGAGAGTGTGGTGGGATGTTGGCAGGCAGTGCTGGGGAGGGAGCCCTCCCTGCTTGGCCACCCAAGGTCTGCCATGGGGGGAACCCCATGTCTGCCCAGCTAAACCCCACAGGTCTTGACACCCCACAGTGAGGGGGCACCTTCAGATCCCCCATAGTGCCCTGAAAGCCTATATATGGCTGGGGGGGCTGTGGCTGGCCCGCTCTGAAGCCATATAGCCAGTGGGGTCAGCCTCTACCATCCCACAGCACCCCAACACCCCAAATCTGACTGGGTCAGCTGTTGTCACTCCATGTCACCCCAGCATCCTGTTTCCATCTGGGTTGGCCTCTGCCCTCCTTGTCACCCCTGTGTCTGACCTCTGACACCCTGTGATGCCCCATATTCAGCCAGGTTAGCCTCTGCCAACACACGGCACACCAAAAGTACCCTGTGTCTGGGCTTCTGTCACCCCACTGTACCCTGATCACCCTGCCAAGGGCACCCTCACAACTTCCCAAGACCGGTGGCTGTGTGGGTACCCAGGGGTGACCCTGTATGTGCTGCTGAGGGGAGAGCCATGCAAGCAGCACCCCAGGCCCTTGTGCCCTTTTTACTGGGGGCTACTGGAGGTCCCAGCCCTTGGGAGCACCATAGAGTGTCCATGATGCCAGTGCTGCCAGCACTGGTTGGTGGTGGGTACAGGGCCCCCCAAAACACAGCCGGGTCTGGGCTGGCCCAGGGTCCCCAAGATCTACTGGCAAAGGTGCTGGCAGCACACATCTCGGGCAGGGCCCCAGGGTGCAGATGTGTGCAGAAGCACACACACATGCACAAAATCACACCCCCTCTGCCGGCAGGGATATCCTGACACGCAGCTGCACGTGCAGGGAGACAGACAGAGGCAAACAGGCACAGGATGGCAGTACGAGTGCACACACGCACACCCCGTGGTGTGCCAATACACCCACAGCTGCACAGACACACATGGCTGGATGGGCTGCGGGGCATGGGGTACTCCAGGGGGGGCTGTGGGGCAGGGGGACAGCCCAGGCAGGGTTGTGAGGTGGGTTTAGGGGCAAGGGGATACCACAGGTAGGTGTGTGGGGCAAGGGGAGAATCACACGCAGGGAGGGTGTGGGACACAGGGAACTCGGCAGGAAGGACTGTGGGGCAGGAGGGTACAACATGCAGGGATGTGGGTCAGTGGGGTAACCTCAGGTAGGGCTGCGGGGTAGGAGGGGGTAGTCCTGGCTGTGGGGCAGTGGAAGAAGGGGATATCCCTGGCATGGATATGGGGCAGTGGGGATACCTGTGGGGTGGGGCCTACTGGGGCAGGGATAGGGTGAGATACAGAAGGCAAAGCACTGCAGCCCCCAACCCTGCAATCAGAGCCCCACGTGCTGAGTTCCCACTTTGTCATCTCAAATTGCCCAAAGTACAGGCTGCACAAGGTGCAGTGCTGGCCCAGGGCAGCTGCTGCTGCCTGACTCATGGTGGAGGAAGGAGCAATCTCTGGAGCTTTTGAGTGCTGGCTGTGGCCACATGCTGCAGGATGCATTCTTGTGGCAAGCAAGTTGGTTTGCTGGTGTTCACTGAAAGCAGCAGAACAGGGCCAGAATCCTGCAGAGGTCCTGGGAGCATCCCCATCCCTCCTGCTGCTATGTCCTCCCACCCCACTGAAGCCCCCCTGCACCCCCCTGTCACAGCTGGGAAGGGATGGGGAGTATCTCCTGAGGTGGGGACAAGGTGAGGTGGCTGCATGGATCCACCACCAACGTGGGGACAGGTTTGCACCCCCACGATGTGGTCAGACCACAGGTCACGAGAGCATTGCCGGTTTGGTGGCCCCCCAGTAGCCGGGGGGGACCACACATCATGGGTATCCCCATGTCCCCACCGTGTACCCAGAGCCCAGTAGCCTGGGGGTGAGCAGGAGGTGACAGCAGAAACTGCCCCTGGTGCCGTGGGGCCACGTCCCACTCACGTGTGCCCGGCAGCTGGGTCAGGGTTTGGGGTGTTCCCCCTCCCCTGGGGCCTCCGCAGTGACGGCACGTTCCCCCCCGGGGGAGCTGGGCTGGGACGCTAAATGCTGCCTCGGCTGCTTATATTTCAGATGCGGGGCTGCTGGCTCTGCCCCGGACAGGGCACACAGGCAGCCCATTGTTGAAGCCCCTTCGGCGGCGGCAGGAGC